CAGCATATATTCAATGTATTAACATTATTAATTTATAGTAGAGATATAATATATATATATTTACATATGTATATACATATATATATATATATATAGCTTCCATGTCAACCTTAGGATAGCACCACAGACACCACAAAGCCACGGACTCCAAACGGCAGATCCGTGACAGCGGCGTTCATCAAACGGGTGGCGATTGGGGCAACTCCTATCCTCAGGCGGAAGAAGCTCGGCTGGACAAAAGCCTCTGGTTATTATAGGAGTAAATGGAAAATAGCAATGGACAATTATTCAATAGCATTGGAAATTTCAAAATAGCTAGTAAATGGTTTTACCCTCTGGTTATTGGGGCAACTCCTATCTGGAAAAACCCTAGCCATGGAAAATCACCTTTTTTAACAGGTAAACCATCTATTTCTATGGACCATCTATTTCTATGGTTCTCTAGGCCCAGTGGATGATTTCATTGGGATATATATATATATAGGGGGTTATGGAAAAATCCCCAGTTACTAACCAGGAATCGCGTGCTAATCCCATGGCCCATCTAAGTATAACGCCAGTAACCAATGAACAAAAATACAAATATACCCATATGCGAAGAAAATGGTGCTGGTATATGCAAACCCAAAAATGACTGGGTGATGAATTGTTCGGGTACATGTTGGTGTGCATATTCAAGCACCATGGAGCATTTGGGTATAGGAATGACATGAGGAATGACATGTTGATGTGGCTAAACTATAGCTAATCACATGCCAATAGTTAATAAACTAGTCATGTTTAGATGGCATTGTTGAAAGTTGATGTGTATATAAAGTGATCGATCACTAGGACTAAACTATAGCTAATAGTTTCAAAAAAACATCTAATTGTCCTGGTGATCGCAAGATATCCCAAGTGCGACCGGCGGAAGATCATCCCCTGTCCGACGGGCTTCGTCTGGGGTGAGCCCCTAGGAACACCTTTCCCACTGAATGGGATGCAAAAACCACTGCTGCTTGGTGGTTTCAAACATGAATGGATTATGACTTTCCATACCCATAGGATCCATGTATGGTATATATGCTAACATTTCGGGTATATTGATGGTAAATTTTCCATACCCATGAACGGATTATGACTTTCCATACCCATAGGATCCATGTATGGTATATATGCTAACATTTCGGGTATATTGATGGTAAATTTTCCATACCCATGAACGGATTATGACTTTCCATACCCATTGGATCCATGTATGGTATATATGCTAACATTTCGGGTATATTGATGGTAAATTTCCCATACCCACGAACGGATTATGACTTTCCATACCCATAGGATCCATGTATGGTATATATGCTAACATTTGGGGTATATTGATGGTAAATTTCCCATACTCATGAATGGATTTTGACTTTCCATACCCATGACGGATCCGGCTGGCGCTGGTATATTAATGCTAACATGACTGGGGTATATTGATGGGATCCATGGCACACCATATATAATATATATAGCAGCACCAGCCGGATACGTCATGGGATATCTTGGGAATGTCATCCTCCCAACTGGGTATGGGTCAATACCTATAGATACATTTTTAGTGGGATGAACATCCATTTACCAGTTATTTTGATGTTCACCAGGGGTACAAGGTTTTGACACACTGCCAACTGACTTTCACTCCATCATTTTTCAAGATGGGCACATTGCACCACCAACCAGACTCGGCGGGGATGGTCCTCCAGAAATCGCTGGGGATGGCCGAATGTCAAGCCATCCATTTCCGTGTCCACAAAGAGCAGCAACTCTTTGTTGAAGGGGAAGGTATCAAAGGTATCTCACTGATACGGCAACTGCAACATATATATATATATATGTGGGTAGACCAGCGATAGCCTTCGCAAGTTGATTTAGTCCAGTTTATAGCCAAAAATACAATGTACCCTGGCAACTAGACGCCCCTCATCAACGAAATGTACGAAGTTTTCTTGTTTTTATTTTCCAGGATATTACGCATTATGTTTACCATCAACATTTGAAATGCTTACTTATCCTATGTGTTTCGATGTTTTTTACTTACCAATTGAGTCATAACCAGAATTACACGGGTTATATGCGCACGCAAGTAAGGTGAAGCACCAAGTGAGCAGTGAACAAAATCCAGCAGTTAATCAGTACCCTCTGGTACTCAGTGCCTTAGTGCCATGGGAAATCCATCATTTAGATTCATTTAGAGATGATTTTCCCATTAATAGCATGGGATTCCCCTTCATATGCCATGATATAAAGCCTCCATTCAGAGGGGATTTCCCAGCCAGCCACCCTTGATTTTTTTAAAAAACCTGGTTTAAGTGGGGGCTCCGAGGTTGACCCAACCAGGAACCCCATTCTCAACCAACCAGGAACCAACCAGGAACCAGTTTTTGAAGGGATGAAATCCCATGAATCAGCCGTCAAAATCCAATTTTTTCCCTGTGATTCTAGTGGTTAAATCCCCATTGGTGAAGTTCCCATTGTTAAAAAGTCGTTCTCACTCTGATCATGCTGAGGATTTCCTGGAAGTATCCCTAAGTTAGCCCAACATTTCAGGTTAGTGAATGATTATAATTTCCCCAGATATATGGCAACTTTAGGCATGTTTCGTTTTTTTCAATGGACAATTTACCCAGCATGTTTGGATGTTTTTTTCGATGTGACACTTGAACACTGCTAGGGACGGATCACTTAGGAAGCTCCAGCACGCGATGTTCGAGCACCTGCGACTCGGCTAGTCGAGGGGCCGTTTTTTCCCGGAAAACCATCCCACTACAGTGACGAAAGGCAGGATGTGATTACTATATATATTTATATATATGATATATATATATATATATCATAATACATATATACACACACGTAATGTCATGTATATATATATATATATTTATACATAGACTGTTAGAAAATAGATGTACATATATATTAGTAGCAGCAGTTTGTATACCAATCGATTTGTTGCTATTATACTATTGAACCAAGTGTTATTGTCAGTTGATCCCTACATATTGCCAGTTAATAACCTAGTTAGTTGGTGAATGTGATGTTAAATGAGTGATTATGGTCAAAGTCATCCCTTAAATGGATATCATTATTGGAATGTTGGTGATGGATCCCTTGTATATCGCAGACTATAATGAACCAATTAGTTGCAATATGCCGTATGATCAAACAATAGTTCAATCAAGTTTATCCCCATTTTCAGACACCCTTTATGTCATAAAATGATGGTTTACATCCCATGACATCTTTTTTTGACCAGTTCCATTAGAGTTGACCCAGTTGACCTGTCAGGCACTGGGATTCCCCGCTTGCAAAAAACCTCGCGAGGCCAATCACTGCGCTGCCTTTCAGGGAAGCGGTCAGCGCTTGGGTGGCTGAGAGGGTAGCTGAGTCGGTGTCGAGCATGGCAGAAGCCTCGGAGATTTCAAGAGGCTCTGGTTGATTGTGTACTCCAGGGGGCTTTGCCACTTTTGCTACCTACAGTAGTTGGGGATTATTAACTAAGCCCAGGCCAAACAAGAATTCTGTGGTTTGGGCCTCTCCTTTATATTTGGATATGACGGATATGACTTGCAGTTGTCGCAAAACTTGGAAAGCCCACTCTGTCACATGGTCTATCATTCAGAATCTCCAGACACAAAAACATCATTATACCATATTATTAGACCATCATTTTCCCATGGATTCTCCTCATCTTCCTTATTAAAAACAGTACCTGTGAACTGGTAGAAGATGATGGTGCAACCAAAGAATCAAACGAATGCAAATGCTGGAGCGACACCGCCGCCTCCAAACGCCATGTGCTTTTCCAACAAGCTGAAATCCATGGGCCTAGAGCCGCAAATCCACGGCACCTGTACTGATGGCATGCATGTGTCAAGGTGAAGTTGGCTCATTCACACACCCAACGTTTAAAGTTCACCTTGACACAGAAATGAGATAATTGGAGGTTTCGCAGCATGTCCCACCAGGTTTGTACATCAGTCTCTAATTTGATGGGACTGTCTGCTGATTGAAATTGCGTTGGGACCCAGCGCATCATCCTGGAATCATCGAAAACAAATTCCCAACCAGCAGCCACAGCTAAAACAAACGAAATAAGTTGTTCAAGCGCTGCCCAATCAATCACCAACCTCTTCGCGAGAAGAGCGTTTGGCTCTTCGACCCAATGGATCAAGCCGGAAAGAGGCTTGCAAGTCATCAGAAAAACTATCGGAACTACGCCCCTCACAGCATCATTGCGCAGAGGTTCGCTGGACAATGGTAAAACCAGCAACTCATGCCCCTCCATCCCAAGGCCTGCAAGACGAAGATGCCATGCATGTTCTGGAGGTCGAAGGTGTCCTTGATGTCGTTTCCACCTGGACGGGATTCGAGCTGCACGTTTTCCAACATGTCGGTGAAAAGTGTTTTCAGGCAAACATTCCTTGCTTGGGGAGTCAATCTGCATGTGGTCATCAGCTACAAATACACCATGTGAAGCATGTTGATCACCGCCGTGTACTTTATCATGCAGTTCATGTGGTTCCATGTTGACATCACTACCATCCACGAAGATATCTGATCCCTGCAAAGGTGGACTAGGTTCATGGGCATCGCTGAGCTCCCCATCTCCAATAGCAGGGAAAGACGTGCAACATCTGGGCACAATCTCGGACTTGTGGCATTCCCCCAAAGCTCCGCAGAGCTCGTAGGTGTAGATACCTGCGGCACGGGTGTTGCAACAGTCTGTTGGAGCATGCACATGATCACTTTGACAGCTACTTCTAAGATCACCATGATATACTCCATGAGAATGGATCCATGTCATGAGTTTTCGAAGATGGCTCTCTCCCGAAACCTCTTGTTGGACAAACCCAAAAGTTTGCTTTTGGCCGTGGCGGTCTAAACATTGCCACGTGCTCCACTTGGTGCAAGGCGGCTCCATCCAAGGGAATTCACGGCAGTGATCCGTGGTGTTGGAGTTCGCCACATTCTCAGCATTGGGAATGAAGTGAAGTGCAGGAGCGTGCAAAGGAAACGCCCATACAGCGACCAAAGTTCTTCTTGAAATTGCGGCGCATCTCATCTTTTAACAGTTTCCGGGTTGCCTTGTAGTCACCACCGTAGATGAGCTGGAACTCCATCGCCTCAGGGACATGTTTGCCGTAGGGCTCATCAGCGGCCAGGTTATACTCATCCTCATAGTGTGGAACCCTGCCCACCTCATAGTTTGAAACCTTGTTATTCTCAGTCACATAGGCCGGTGATGATCCCCCCACATCCTTGAGGTTAGTGCTCTTGCCGTAGACGTCCACATTCTCATAGTCACTGATTTTCACTGGCTCTCCAAACTTCCATCCCTCGGCACGGCGATCTTTGCAGCATCCTCTGCCATCTTGATGGTCTGTAGGATCTTGAGGCGTTCCTGCAGCTCGTGGATCTCCTCGTCCCACCGAAGACACCATAGAGAAATCGTCGGACTCCTCCAAAGGCCTTGTCTTTGACTTTCGCACCGGTGTGACGTTCTTCTCCTTGGGCTGTGCGCGAGGACGAACGTTGTGGACCACAGGGGGTGGTTTGGTCTTTGCCGTCAGCTCCGGGTCCTTCGAGGACTTGGCTCCGTAGCCCTGAGCGCGGCCCACTCCCTGCTTTTGACGGTCGGCCCATCGAGCCAGACGAGCCAGGTCGGGGCTGCACTGGTTGGACGTGCTCCATTCCGTGATGGCCCACTCCAAGTAGTCCTTCGGCACCTCCTTGAACAAGTAGTTCTTGTACTGCCCGAAGGTCACCTCGCTGTCTCCCGTGGTCTCCATACTGTAGCGCAGCATCCTCATCAGAAGACCCTGTGTGGCTTTTGGTGGTATCTCCAATCCCTCCTCCAAGCACCGCTCTTTCAGTTGGTCGACGCTGCACTTTGTCAACCCCAAGCCAGTTTTCCCTTGAGGTCCACGGGCCTCCATGTAGATCGACCTCAGCTCCGGCACTGTCATGCTTGGGTCGTACTTCACGTTCATGTCGATCAAGGCTTCTAGAAGCTCCGCACGCAGCATCTTCCATACTGAGGCAGGTTTGGACATCACCTGGGTTTGGGCTCCCAGGTGAACGTGATTGAAGTGCACCAGCTACTTGAGGCCTAAGAAAACGGCTTCGTCCGATCCAAAGTTGTTGTCCTTTGACCTTGACCTCAAACCTCCAAGCATTTGACATCATGAACGGCTTTCCAGATGAAGTGCAGGGTATGCATGTACTCATGCGTGTGTCGTCAAGGGAAATAAGAAGGCATTCTTTCAAACCACCATCACTTGTTTGCCAATCTCGAGGATCAAAAGGATCTCTCCTGGGAATGACATGTATGCGATCGATGTAGAAGTCACCCTCAATCCAAAAATCCCTCAAAATTTTGTTTTCGCGCCACCAACCCTGAAACCATTCTGGGCAAAGATGTTCAGCAGATAGATTGTGCAAAACCATAGGGTCGATCTTCTTGGGGTAGAACAACTTCTTGGGGGCTTCCACAACATCACCCGCATGACGCACCATGTATGCCACCTTCTCGGACGGTACAAAGATCTCAACTAGGTCCCACTTGATGCCCTTTGGCCATCGTGGGGCAGGGCTAGAACTGGAAGCGACCGGCACAGCTGGGAGGCCGGTCAAAGTGGTTTGCAAAGGCACCTCAGTCAAATTGAGTGCTCCAAAGGATGCCATGTTGGCTGGCAAATCGTATCGCATGCCCAACTGAGCCAATGCTGGGCGGCTCAAAAGCAAAGGCACATCGGTATCTAATTCAGACACCTTCAAAATAAACCACTTTCCGCATATGTTCAGCCAAAAACACCAAGCTTTCTTTGACAGAAACAGTTTGTCTCCACCAAACTTGAATTGCTCATGTTGTGGGACTACTTCAAAGTGATGGCCTTTGGCCAATGCATTCTCACGAAGGCGCTTGATCCACTCACTTCCAGCCACAGAACGGCTGCAGGCACTGTCGGTGATCGCAACAATCTCGGCATTCTCGACGCGCCCAGCATGAAAGACCTCACAAACATGAGATACCTGAGCAGGTTGAGCAGGACCTTTGTTCCCTTTGTAGAGTGGGCACTCAGGGTCTCGATGCCAATGGCCTCGACGCTTGCATGCTGAGCAGTATGAACGGGCTTTGGCCTGTTTGATTCGATCCTCTTTGCTGGTCTGATTCGTCGCAGTGCCCCGAGATTTGAGCAGCGCCTGGTACTTGGACTTGGCGTTCTGAAAGGTGAGCCTCCTGGGTCTCCTCGTCGCTTTCAGGGAACATCTCATCTTCACCTTCCGACATGTCGCCCTCGTCATCCTCCTCTGCCTCCGCGTTCTCAGTGACATGGGCATGGTGTGAACCCTTTTTGTCCTTGTCCCCGTACTTTCGAGGTTCCCAAAGACGGCGGTTCATGCGATCTTGGATCACAGCAGCATCTTGGAGCTTCGAGAGTTCATACTTATTTCCAGTAGAGGACAAAAGGTTGAGTTCCGCCCCATTCTCAAGACGGAGCTTGTCCACATAGAGCCAAGCCAAGCACAAGTCAGGGAGGTTACAACCAACTTCTTTAAGCCGTGAGACCTGCCTGTCATACTCCTGGTTGAAGTCGCGGATCTCCTGGCCAAACCCCTTCTTGAGGTGCTTGAAAAACTCCAACATACATTTACCAACCTTGACAACCTCCTTGTCCAGGTACTTCTCGGAAACCCATTGAGTGAAGACATCAACCCCGTTCACACTATCCAACAAGGCTAAGTCGAGCTCCTCAGCATCCCTCCATGCCCTGCCGGTGAGGTTGTTGTACAAGGCCAGCGCCTGTTTGTTTGGCCTCAACCTTGTCATTCTTCTCCAAGCTGCCACCTTGCGAAGATAGCCACGGGTCACCATGCCATCTTTGTCATCTTCACCTGAGAATTCAGGCACGCTGATTTTGTCACTACCCCCCATACGGTCATCTTCACGATTTGCGCTTGCTCCCCAAGGGTCACCCTGGGACTGCCATGGGTCGCTAGAAACAAAAGCATCACGGCTAGCTGAACCATCACCACCGGAGGGGGTAGTAGTTGTTGGGGGCCAAGAGTACCATGTTCTTCTCCTAGCCATCCATTCATCCCATTCTGCATCAGTCCATGGTCCAGATGAGTTATTGATGACTTCCCGTTGCCCCTCATGAGTAGCATCCCCAGAATTTGACGCACTGCTAGGGCCCCCATCACCACTTTCCTCATCCATCCCCGAACCTAAAGGCGTTGGGGCAGGCATCGAAAGCAACTGCTAATGACGCACCACCAATCTCCTCCACTTGCCAATCTCCTTGTCCTAAACCGTCCCGGGGTATTATCGAGCCCCCCGGGTGGCTCCGCTACCAATGTGAACTGGTAGAAGATGATGGTGCAACCAAAGAATCAAACGAATGCAAATGCTGGAGCGACACCGCCGCCTCCAAACGCCATGTGCTTTTCCAACAAGCTGAAATCCATGGGCCTAGAGCCGCAAATCCACGGCACCTGTACTGATGGCATGCATGTGTCAAGGTGAAGTTGGCTCATTCACAGTACCATAAAATCTGGAAAAACATAACTGCCACCGACCGGTCTATGGTGATGATCCAATTTCTGCCCGTTGAGAACCCATGGTTTGTTTGTAAACATACCCAGTTGAGTTGAGTTGTTTGATAACCACGATGAGCCCTCGTTTTCAATGGTTAAATCATATAAAGCCCGTGTAAAATACCCGATATTTGTTGGTAAACATCCTTCTTTGTGATGCTTAAAACAATTAAATACCTATGTTTTATGGTTAAGTCATGTTAAATCCTGATTTTTGATGTTGAATCATGTTTTCAGCAAGCTAAAGCCTTGACAAGAGATGAAACATGTTTGATCCATCCTCATCTGCACATATTTTGCTCCGACTTGGCACCGCATCGGCTGCTTGTACCGTTGCTGATCATGAGTGACAGCAGCTGGGATTCACACAATCGATTGGGAGCATTGAAGGGAGCATATCCAGCAAACCATTGTTTTCATCATTAATTTTGAAGGTTTCCTGCAACTTTCCCTTTCAACCAAGATAACCAAGGCAATGACAAGTGCAACAATCTAGTCACAACGGTAGGACTCTGTGAAAACGGTCCCAAGTGTAGGTCAACCCTAATGTCTCGTAACCCCCCAAAAAATGCCGAAATGTACGTACGATATTTCCACGTGTAGATGCGATGTGTTCCCAAGTTTTCAGGTTTCCAACTTTTTAACCACTTTCTGGAGCTGTCATAAACTATAATGAACTACGCAACAATGGCTGTACTTTGTGTGAACAGATGTCAAGGCTCTCTCTGAAACCTGCGGTCACTACAGAGACGCGATGAAAAAATCGGCGGAAACAGCTGCGGCAATCAATGGGTATATGGGGAGAAGTTTTCAGAGCCCAACATGCCTAGCAGCAAGGTCAACATTTTACAAAGAGGCCTTTGCGTCATCAAATATCTACAATGTCCATTTCCTGGTTGGTGGTTTACATTGCGTTAGAACTCCAAGTTGAGACGTTTCGGGCTGGCTTGGTGAATTCTTAGTTTCTGTTTCTGGTAAAAATTGCAATCCTACCCTCGAATATATCATAATATTGAATACCGCTCGCACAACCCTGGTTTAGTATGTTTTTTTTCATCGCTGTCTCAACTATTCCGCTGTATTTCACATTGGCGTCATCTCCCCATGTTGGATGTTTTTGTTGGTTAAATGCCATTTTGTGTGTTAGTTAAATTCCACTCTTTTGGTGGTTGCAATCTCCTCATTCTTATGCGTGAACGCGCCGTGCTCATGAGAATGAAAACCGTTTTTTGTCCCCCCCCCCCATACAGTGACCCATGGCAAGACCTAGTTTTGGGCTGTGAAAATCCCAAGGTTTTGATGCGTAACTCGATCGTGGATTCCTTTGTTTTGCTGGTGCACTCCTCATGGAACATGGTGAAGTCATGTTCTGTGAACTCATATTAAATCTGCATTGTTTCTAGTTAAATCGCAGTTGTGGGATGTTGTGGGTGGTTACATAATATACAAATACATATATATATATATATATATAAGCGCAATCTTCGTTGGTTAAAGCATGCCATATTTTGTTGATCAATTCCATAGAGTTTCTGTTTCTGGATGGTTAATTCACTTGTTTTGGTGTCCCAACAAAAAAATCACAATATGTGTTGATTCTTGAATCACTGGTTGTTGGTGTGGAACATGAACTTTGTTTTTCCATATCTTAGGAATAATGATCCCAACTGACTTTCATATATTTCAGAGGGGTAGGTCAACCACCAACCAGATTATTATGAACCATCGTTAACCATATAATAACAATTAACATTAACAATTATTAACAGTATATTAACCATATATTAACCACCAACCAGATCACTTGGTTGGTGAATCCCCATTTTCTCTCATTTTTTCCCAGGCTTTTGACCATCGCCGCCTCCCGACTGTTTCCAGGACGCTGCTGAGGCGCGCTATGTGGAGCCCTTCCCAGAGGCCGGCGCGGCGGAGGATGCTGAGGTGCCACCGTGGCTGTTGGGGATGAAACCAGGTTAGCCTTCGGTAAACACCAGGTTTTCCCATGAAATAGTTATTGAATCGTTGGGTGTACACCATTGGATATGACAAACCATGTTATTATGTTGGATATGACATATATAATCATATACCAGCACCCTCTGGTAAATTATATAGTTAACAGTTCCACTCTGAAAATCAAGCACCTAACCACCATCATCATCACCGGCACGTTATCATCATCATCATCATCATCATCATCATCACCATCATCATCATCATCATCATGTCGTCGTCGTCACCGTCGTCGCCGTCGTTGTGGTCGTCGCTGGCGGCGGCGGCGTCGTCGTCATCATCATAATCCATGGGCCTTCCAACTCCTAAAAAATATCAGTCGTTTTGCACAATCAGGCGTTTCATCAAATTTATGGTCGTATCGAGCGTTTCCCCAAAAAGTTAGGCGTGGTATGTCATGGCTGTGTTTCCCATCGGCATGGCCTTCCTCCCAGTCTTCTCACCAGTATTTTGCTTTCAAAATATGGAGCCGCACATCCAAGTTGGTTTCTGTTTAATTGCGCGCTCCCAAAATCATACAAATTTACCAGATTCTTGGATTTGCGGGCGTTTGCGGGTTTTTCCGGGCGTTTTGCGGATTTTTTGCGTTTTGCGGGTAATTTTTGGGCGCAGTTATGTGCATTTATATGCATTGGTGCTCGGGATATGAGAATGGCCTGGCATGTCCCTGGGACGCAGCCAGGATGCAAGCCATGTTCAGTCACATTCAAAATGTCAATTGTGGTGATAGTGTGGCCACTAGGAAGCAAAACCAGGCAAACTAGTAGAATTAGACTAGACGAGATTCTGAAAACTGGGTCATTTTAGGTCATACTCAAAAACTACCAAAAATAATTGATCGAAGGAATGTTCAGGTCAACACCAGCGTCGTCATCATCATCATCACCACCATCCTCATCATCATCATCATCATCATCATCGTCATCATCATTGTCATCGTTGTCGTTGTTTTTTGTTGTTGTTGGTGTGGTTGTTGTTGTTGTCGTTGTCGTTGTCGTTGTCGTTGTTGTTGTTGTTGTTGTTGTGGTTGTGGTTGTTGTTGTTGTTGTTGTCGTCGTCGTCGTCGTCGTCGTCGTCATCGTCCTTGGCCTGGTCATATTTTGTAACGACCCACTTGATTTCTGAAAAGTGTTTTCATGTTCCCTGGAACGAGGCTGCAATGGCAAGGCGCTTATCTGTGGATGATTCATATCTTGATTTGGGGTTTTCCAAAGGTCCTCGAAACCATGGGTTTCAATACTCAAACGGTCTACTGTAATTTGGATGATTTGGGGGTCCACCATCTTAGGAAACCTCCATAGTTTGATTTCAAGTATTCCAGCTGAAGCAAGCCCATGGAACGCAGCCATGACGCCCTGGTGTAATCATTTACCTACTGAGCAGCTGAGCAGGAAGGTTTTACACTTCCCGGGATGATTATGTAACATGCTTTGGGCAAGGTACAGTGCAATCCTCTTCGGGTGCTTGGTTTACGGTGACTATAATGTTTCTAAAGCAGAAAACCCTGGGATAAAGATCACGAATTAATGACTTCGTATCTTCCAGGTAGGAACAAAATAATCCACCAAGTCTTCATTGAGTCTTGTTGTCAAAACTGTCCTTGGATCCCACTTCAATAGTCCATCTATCTTGGACTCTTGGGCAATCAGAAAGATTTGGTCCACAGTTCTGTGGCACATGCCGGCAGTATCTGGGTGAATGGGCAGTGAGTTTAACCCCGTGTTTGGCAA